CTCCGTTTTTGATTGCAATTTTTTTACAGTCTTAATAGTGAACATTGTTGACATATGTATATATAAGAGTATAATAGAACAAACATTGATATTGAGGGATATAGATAATTACGGACACGTGACCGAAAAACGTTCGAGAAACGTTGACAATATGTCGTTTATGTTTTGAACACATGTTTGTATATATTAAGTGAAATAAACCACCAAAGTTAACAGGTTATGCGCCCAGGATTGCCCAAGATGCCCAGAATAGCTCAATAAAGGCTATAAGAAAGCTCAAGACAGTAAATAATGGATGGTAACTCGTTCAAGTGGCTATGTTTTAGCGGTGAAGCTGAGGATTACCCAGCTTGGAGCACCAAGTTCACGGCGTATATGCAAACGACGGGTCTCTACAAATCGTTGTTTAGCAGAGAAATTATACCAGAAGAAATCGCCCCTTTGCCTGAAGATGCTTCGGCTGAGCAAAGAGCGGAGAGAGAGACCAAAGTAAGTCAAAGAGACAAGGAAATCGAGAACATTAAAGAGAGAAACAACAGTGTTTGGTGCTATCTCGCGTTAGCATTAGACAAAACAAGCCTGATATATATTCGACACGATTGTTTATCTCAAGATGGCACTGGCGACGGAGCGAAAGCGTGGCGATTACTACAGCAACGTTATTCGAATGTAGAAAAGCCTACAGTGGTAAGTCTAGTGAGACAACTATCACGTTTACAACTCGGTGAAGAGGAAAAACTTCACGAATATTTTATACGATCGCAAGAGCTGATGTCGAGACTTGCGGAAGCTGGCGAGAAAATGTCAGAAACTCTTTTTAATGCGTTAGTTATTAATGGCTTGCCTGAGAAATACGAACATTTTGTTGTGCAAGAAAGTTTTAATCCAGCAGCGACATTTACCGAATTGAGAACCCGTTTACAGAATTACGAGGACAGTCGTTTGCAAAGAAGACAACCGGAAAACGATTCGTCATTAGCATTGCATACTGGAGGTGGAAGCAGAGATCAGCGTGGTCAAAATAAGAGAACACCTATGCAATCCAAAGTTTGTTATGTCTGTGGAAACCCTGGACATTTCGCAAAACAGTGTAACAAAAGAAGCACGGCAACTTGCTCCAAATGCAACAAGCGAGGTCACTTAGCAAAAGCGTGTAGAAATAACGAGAAGATCGACAAATTTAAGAAGAAGGATGATAACGCGATTTCATCTTATTCAGAGTGTTTCGTTAGTCCTATACAAGAGAAAAACAACCCAGAAAAGCATCTAGTAGTGGACACTGGTTGTTCAGATCACATTGTGTATCAAAAGGACGCTTTCATAAATCTACGCACAGTAAATGAGAAGAGTGTTCGAGATCCTAAAGGAAACCTCACAGCAATTGAAGGAATTGGCGATGTTCCAATAACAGTCGAGCTAAACGATGGAAAAATGGCAAAAATAATCCTACGAAATGTGCTATACGTGCCAAATTATAAAGTCAACCTACTATCAGTTAACAAAGCAGTTAATTTCGGGCACAGATTTATCTTTAACGACACCAAAGCAAGAATGGTAATGAATGATGGTCGTGAAATCAATTTCATTAAGAACTCTGGTCTATTCTTTTTGAAAGTCACGTACAAGAATGTAGTCAACCCATTTGCCTGCAACGAAACCAAACAGAGCATCAAAGGAGATATCAACCTATGGCACAAACGTCTTGGACATCTGAACAAGACCGATGTAAAGCGTACCGTTAGTTGTCAAGGTGAGATGAAGGATCCATGTGAAACGTGTGCAATGGGAAAACAAGCGAGCCAACCCGTTTCAAAGAAAGTTGAACACAAAGCGAAGAAAGCTCTCGAACTTGTCTACTCAGACATCCTCGGTCCTTTCGAAGTAGCTAGCTTAAGTGGATCAAAATACGCAGTTACATTCATCGACGAATACACGAAGTACGCAGTTCGTTAAGTACATGAGTCACAAGTCACAAGTTCTTGACAAGTTTTGGAATATGTTGCAGAAAACGGAACGCCAAGGACATTACGCACAGATAATGGAGCTGAGTACACTTCACGTAAATTCAAGAAGTTCTGCAGGAACTCAAAGATAAAACAAGAATTTACAGTTCCGGAAACACCGCAGCAAAATGGAGTCGCAGAGCGCTTCAATCGTACCATAGTAGAAATGGGACGGTGCTTACTTATACAAGCAAAACTACCTAAGAAATATTGGGTAAGAGCGTTGGACACTGCTACACACATCCGAAACCTTACTGTGAGTGCAAACAGCAACGAAGGAAAAAGTCCTTTCGAATTATTCACAGGGAAAACGGCTAGAAGAAATCACCTTAGAGTATTTGGTTGCACAGCCTATGTAAAGAAAAGAAAAGTGAACATACGAAAGCTCGATTCCAGATCAGTGAAAGCAAATTTATTGGCTACGACAGCAACAGCACAGCCTACATACTACAAGAGCTCGCAACAAAGAAAATAATCAAAGCACGAAATGTTATCTTCAAAGAGGACGAAATCCAACCATTATCATCTGTAGAAGAATCCTATCAAGGAGACCAATTCTAGAGAATCCAATCCTAGATCTTGCGGACAAACTTTCTAATGATCAAAACAACGAAAACCCCGTCGGAGATGAAGAAATTGGAGATGAAGTGGGGATACCGAAAATGAAGTTCCAAATGCACCAGAGCAACAGCAAAATGAAGATGCTGAAGTAGAAGAATCACTACGCAGAGAAGATAGAAACAGAAGACCTCCTGAAAGATATGGTCATCCATACACCTTTAATGCGACACAAGAAGAAGACACTGTCACCGAACCTAAAACCTATGAAGAAGCTGTAAAATCAACCAAAGCCAAGTACTGGAAACAAGCAATGCAAGCAGAAGTCGAGTCACTAGAAAACAATAACACTTGGACATTTGTTGAGAGACCGAAAGACAAGAACGTATTACCTGGAAAATGGGTATACAAGTTAAATACGGTGCAAATGGAGAAGTAGACAAGTACAAAGCTAGATACGTGGCGAAAGGTTTCGCACAAGTCGAAGGCTTAGACTTTTTCGAAACGTATGCACCTACATGCAAACCAGAAACATTCAGAACTCTGTTAGCAGTCGCAACACAGAAAGATTTACACCTCGGACAAATGGATGTAAAATCAGCATATCTTCACTCAGCTATTGAAGAAGAAATTTACCTCGAACAGCCCCAAGGTTTTGCTACAAATGGAGAAAACGGACAGAACTTAGTGTGTAAACTAAACAAGTCGATTTACGGTCTTAAGCAAGCAGCGAAAAACTGGTATGAATCCCTAGCAAATCTACTAATCGAGAAAGGATTTCAAAGAAGTCGCAATGATTACTGTCTCTTCGTGAGAAAAGAAGAAAACGGAACATTTTCATACATAGTCTTATGGGTCGACGATATTATAATCGCAGCCGAACGAAATGTTGTAGACAGAGTCAAAGTGCTACTAGAAGAAAACTTCAAAATGGATGATCGCGGAGAACTACATTGGTTCCTTGGAATGCGAATTATCAAGTCTGAAGACAAGATCACAGTAGATCAAGAGAAGTACATCGAAAACCTCCTGAAACAGTTCAATATGAGTGACTGCAAACCAAAAGCAACTCCCGGAGAAGTCAACCTGAAGTTAGTAAAGAACAACGGAGAACACGAGCTAGTCGATACAAAGTTATACCGAAGTCTAGTCGGATCACTTCTGTACATCGGAAAACAGACAAGACCGGACATACTCAACGTAGTTAATCAATTATCACGATTCCTTGACAAACCCGATACAACGCACTGGAAAGCAGCAAAACACGTCTTAAGATACCTCAAAGGCACTATTAAGTTACGATTAACATTTGTCAAGAATTCCAGCATGAACCTTATCGGCGATTCAGACGCAGACTGGAGTGGCGACTTAGACGATCGAAAGTCCACAACCGGTTACTATTTTAAATTTGAAGGAAGTGGCGCAGCAATAAGTTGGGAAGTAAAGAAGCAAGCTACAGTAGCACTATCGTCTACAGAAGCTGAATACCAAGCAATGGGAGCCGCAGTACAAGAATCAATCTATCTCAGAGCATTAATGAAAGATTTTGGTTATCCTATGAAAGATCCAACCTACATTGGAGAAGATAATCAGTCATGTATCAAGATGTGCCACAACCCTGTTATGCACAAGCGATCGAAGCACATCGACACAAAGTTTCATTTCATCAGAGAAAAAGTCAAGAGCAAAGAAGTTGCAATTCATTATGTTCCTACAGAAGATGACAGCGGACATTAACTAAATCACTACCCCGGATTAAGGTTGAGAAACATCGTTATGTTTTACTAGGCAACTAAATAAGAACACTGAAGAAAGCAGACTCATCATAGACACTGCCGAGTCTGAGTGGGGGTGACATATGTATATATATAAGAGTATATTAGAACAAACATTGATATTGAGGGATATAGATAATTACGGACACGTGACCGAAAAACGTTTGAGAAGCGTTGACAATATGTCGTCTTTGTTTTGAACACATGTTTGTATATATTAAGTGAAATAAACCATTAAAGTTAACACTCACAAGAAGCACGTGCGCATTTCGATAGCCATTTTTCAAAGACCTTTCTGGTGCTCACATGAAACGAAGGAGAACGGGTTGGGTATAAAACATAATTTGGGTGGGCATGTTACTCCTTTGTTCCTGACTGATAGCAAGAAAGAATTACAATTAAACATCGACTTAAGGTTAGTCTCGTTTAATTTCTATATTCTTTCCTGTCATCAGTCTACGTCACTACGGAGTAGCATGAGATTTCAAAGTTGTGAGCACCTAGCAAAATTCAACACAACATTATCTGGAGAAACACGAGTGTATCGTTCATTGTGTAATTGACGTATCCGTAGGCAGTAAGTGTAGAACTAGCGAGATAGTTAATTATTTACAAACTGATCTAGTAAAGCTCGGCCAAAGTTGGTATCAATTGTTTTGTTATGATGTCGACCAGAGGTAGTGGCGTTCATCCACCCTCCAGCTTTAAGGATGTCTTTCAACGGAATGCCGGACTTCAGCCCACAAGACGTCGATGCCGAACGGTTACTATGAGCGGAGAATGTTCCCGTGTCTATCCCCGCGGTAGCGGGAGATGGGGGCGGAAGATGTACTCTCGGATGTCTGCGACTGGACATAATTTCCCCTCAGACGTGTATGCATGGTAGGATCTCGATAGGCTCAATGTGCTTTCCTGGTCTAGTTGTTTTGATTTTTTCTCGTATACGAAATACGATTTTGTCAGGCAAATTTTGCATGTGATTAATATCAGGCTTTACGAGAGTTTTACACCTTTGTGCTGTAATTAGGGCGAGTAAAGTTGTGAGCTTTTTCGTAAGCTTTTCAAGGCTCATGGCTTGAGGGTTGGCTTTTGATTGCAAGATTTCATTGTGCAGATTGGTGAAAATTTAAAAGTTAGAGTCAGTCAGTCATAGAGTAAACTTTCCTGGGGGTAGGCGTGGTTCATGTTTATGGTCATTATTTTATTTAGTTCATCAGTTTAACTTGTTTTATTTATTAATTCTCTATCTAATTTGCTAAGTTCACAAAAATATTGAAGAATCTTACTGTTACTATAAATCAAAATATTGCTTTTCCGTGGTGTGGGTTTTGTTTTAAAGGAATTTAGCCCCCTGAAGACGGTGCATGTGCTGTCGCACATCAATTCGCAGGGTTTGGTATGGACAGCGTTTCCACAATTGAAGGAAATTTCCTTCAAAATTTCAACCATGAGGGAGGGAGGGTTAGTCTTAATAGGATATATTGTGCATTCTTTTCAAACGTTTTTTGTTTCTCTCTTTTTCATTACCATCTCCCCATGAGGACAGCCTTATGCAAATAAGTTGTGGAAACGCTGGGTATGGAGATGAACTATAATAGGAATGGATGCGACATAAGCCTATTGTGCACAACGTATGCAAGATTTTCATTCGAATTATGTCTTTCTGATAAAATCACTTGCAAATATAGTATTGATTTGATATTTCGATATTTAGAAGTTGAGAATATACTTTTTAAACTGTGAATGTGTTCTTACTTTTTTCTTCTCACTGTGGAATATTTATCGTGTTTTTTTTATAGATTGGCATTCCGATGCAGGCTTTTATCGCCGACAAGCAATTCAGAATTGGTGATGGTGGATATTCAAGTGTCTATGTTGGTCTCATGAAGGATGGGACTGAAGTTGCTGTTAAGAAAATGATCGTACAAAAGTGTGATGAAATAGCTGAAAACGAAAGGGAAATTATGAGTCTTGTTAAAACAAGCGACTCACCATTTATAGTGAGTTATCGACATTTTTACCGTGACGATACCTTCATATATCTATTTCTTGACCTTTGCGAGGAAACCTTGAGGCAACTTGTTCATGCATCCAGTATTGAACATCTACAAGAGCATGGTCCACGAATGATTAAGGAAATTCTATCAGGACTTGAATTTCTTCATGGTAAAAGAATGTTGCACAGAGATCTAAAACCATCAAACGTCCTGGCTGATATCGAGGGTCGCATGAAATTGGCAGATTTTGGATTAAGCAGCGTTCTAAGAGACGATGAAACTACAGTTGAAACAGAAGCTAAAGGCACTCACGGATGGATGCCAACAGAAGTAATTGAAGCAATAGAAAAAAAAGAAAAAGGTCCTTTCAAAAAGAAATCGGATGTCCAGGTAGCGGGTATGATTGCTTTCTTTATCTTAACAAAAGGTGGACACCCTTTTGGTCAATCTTGGTTTGAACAAATGAAAAATATTTTGAAAGGAAACTCTGTCAATTTAAAGAAACTTGGTGATCGTAAAGCTCGAAAGTTTGTGTCGTGGCTGATTCGTCACAAGATTGATAAGAGACCATATGCTGAGGAAGCGCTGTGGGACTCTTTCATCAATAACGATTGATACAGAACTATTTTACGTACGGAGAGGAAAGCAATGTTCTGAGAAATTATCCCAATATTTTCACATTATGAACGATGAGTTTGTAAGGAAAACAATTATCTGAATTTTCAAAACATGGTATTCTAGGAGAGGATCATCTAGTAATCTGGACAAACTTGTACAAAGAACAGTTAGTTAACCTGATAATCATTGTATAAATTATAAACGTTGGTGAACTGCTCATTATTGGCGATAGTTTGTGCAGTCGTAGTGTAATTTGAGCCATTTTTACCGCTCTAATCGGTTCCTTGCATATGCCTAGTCGGTTCATGCTCGTGCCCAGGTCCTTCCGTATACTGCATGCGACGTTATCACGGGAGAATAGGACGAGTTTGGTACAAGGATGAACTGGGAGATTGCATGGGATGTATTTGTCGGTGTTTATTGATGCAAGGAATATTGTAAGGAATGTGGGTTTACCATCATGCTCTGCGTAGTCAAATCAACGTCACATTTCAGGCCTAAAAATTTAGATTTCTGTTTATAATCGATACGAAATTTTAAATTTATTTGCTAATTTACCCTTCTAATGACGCATAATAACATCTTTAACGCAAGATGTTACCAATAATAATTGCAAAGCATGACGGTTGATTACTATTCTTCAATAATTCTTGTTCATTAACAGCGCAAAACAATCGTGTGTGTTTTTTAACAAACTAGTAGGCCGTCGGCTTAGGGCGAGTATGTGAGTGAAACTTCAGCATGGTAAACTTATTCCATTTGTATGTATAGCAGCATAAAATTATATTCTACAGATATACCTAATGATATACCTTCATAGTCTACTGCGTCCTTTGTAATGACAGTTACTGTTTTTTTTTGACATTTTAATATTATAATCTCTTTATAGATAATTAAAATTAAGAACTATAACCAGTTTCTAATATTTAAAAGAAATTTTAGGAAAAACAACCACCTCAATCCTTGCTTTAAATCCCCCCCCCGCATTTTTGGCGGCCAAAATATTTGAAAAGTCAGTTTTTCAATTAGCGCTAAAGCGTTACTTAGAGAAATTCGAAATTCTACTGGGAGTTCTATTTAGGGCTTTATAGCCCCACTCTCTGATACGCTCCGCGGGCCCTGTTTATTTGTTCGCTTGCAACTTGAACAATTTTCGTCGGGAAAACCAAAAGTCCAAACACACGTAGCGCCGAGAGGGGGTGATTCCCACAGCTAAGCACATTTACTGAGTTCTGAATTAGTTCATTTACCGAATTTATATTTGTCACACATACATATGTAGGGTGGTCTCAGAGATTTGGATCAGTAACTGAGGTTGCATAATGGAGAGTTTGCGCGCGTTTGCATTCCGTAGACGGTCGGAAGCTTCTCAGTGGCGTAGCCAGCCCGACAATTTAGTCATGCTATGCTAATATTTTGGTGTTCATCGACTGTGAAAACAACGAACTTCTAAAGAAATTAATAATGATAATAACATAAAATTTGCATAGCATGACTAAATCGTCAGGCTGGCTACGCCACTGAAGCTTCTTTCATATGCAATTGGGTCTTGTCGTTGAAATAGTTTCCCATTCACCAACACTCACACTCATGCTTAGCTTGCACGTGCACAAGGAATGGGGTAAGTTTTGGTCAGGGGCGTCGGAGACAAGCTGGCACAGCTTGAGTACGACGCGTGCAGGCCGAGTACGACCCATATTCCGGCACTCTCGTCGGTACACCTGACCACTCGAAACTGAGCAAGAATGGACTGAAAGGCGTTTACCAATTTTTATACCCTCTCAATATGCATAATTAGATACAGATGGTTACCCACATCGCTCATTTGGCTTATTTTCACCTTGTTTAAGGTTTGCATATAATTATGAGCGTTAATAGTCCTATATATTAACGGCATTGAAAAGTACATCAACACCGCTCAACAGCTTGTTATTAACCTTGCATGTTGTTTCCTATTTCGTCCTGCAACTCCATCTCAAGGATCATTGAAGACGAGAAAGCGACATACATCTCTCGGTGTAGCTGTGGTTAACGTAGTGTATCCAGGAAGGGCTGACAAAAATGACTCGAATTCTGTTTTTAATGCGTTATTTTGTTTGGAATATTTATGAGGCGATTAGAATTAAATAAGAGGGGCGGGACATAATACAATTCTTGATAATTGGAAATTGGTAATTCAAAGATGGAAGATTTGTAGGGCTTCTGCAGTGCCTCATACAGAAAATTTTCTCTATTTTTCAGTCCTATCACACCCTATCACCATTTTTGAGGACAATAATACTGACGAATCCATATCAGGAGAGTGAGGTCTTTTGAGAAAATACCATTTATCACTGCACATTCTATTTTAATCACTTGTTATCACTGCACACTAAAATTAGGTATGGTGATAAGAGTAGACGACGAAGGTTACGTTACACCAAATGGGAAGTTACGTAAAGGCGATGCGGAAAGCTCAAAGGTCTGCTGAGAGTTCCGGACATGGTCTCCAACCCGAGTGAGTTGGCAAGAGCAAAACCCCAGAAATGCCTTTGGACGCAAGCTTGATTTTCTTCGTGGAAAAAACGAAGTAGGAGGGCCACCAGTAACGTCTAGGGTACTCGTCAGTGGAGCACTACCAAAGTACAAGACAAGTTACCGGATCGAAGGAACTTGAAAACGGGACCAACCAACATGTGAGGGGGAAAACATAGGTACAAAGTACAAAGGAGTGGTACGAGAGTTCTTGAGCGAAAAGAGTCACACCTAGAGAGTGCAGCGACGGGTATGGTGTGAAATGCGGTAGAGGGTTTCCGGATCTATCCACCATAGCGTTGGAGTCGAGGGCCATGAGGCCACATGTATGACCCTGGCCTTCCGCGAACTGTTGTTGAATTGTTGCCCAAATGGCAGGCGTCAAAGTATGGTCATATTCTGATGATCGTCTGGAAAGAGCGTCGGCGGAGTTCGCTTGAGTCCGGACATACGTGAGGTTTAATATGGTTAAAAAAGATTAAAAAAAAATTAACTCTTTCATCGCTCGGTTAAGACGGGGGCTTTTTCCACCTTGATTGTCCCAAGCGTTTATGACGGCTTGATTACCTCCTTGATGATTGATCTCCTCCTGCTAAGGAAGCGGGCTATCCCAATCTCCAAGAAAATGAGAAATTTCCTGATGTAGCGCACCCGTTAATAGCTGGGGTTTTAAGGTGCGGAGGCCGCGGGAGATGGCTGCGTTCATCTCTCGAAGAAACGTGCTGCTAGCATAGCGAGGGAAAACGAAGTGCATTTACCGACGAGACGTTGGAGAGTTTTGACTGAAACGTACTTTGAGTGAAGTAATTTTTCTAGTAATCTCACACAAGCATACACACATGCACGACAGCGAAGCCTCGCCCACAAAGAAACGAGAAATTTTAATCCAAGTGTATCCAACAGTGAAATATACGGCGAAATCCCGCCCAAATATATAAGATTGTTTAAGCTCACGTCTACGCATATCAAACGCTAAAATCTGAGTCAAGAGGGTATAGCGCGAAAAACACTAACACGAAAAATGGACATGAAGAACGTGCATAAACCTCTAACTCGTCTTGTGGCTGCTCCTGTTGTTGATTTACTGGCATAGATGGAACGTCCTCATTCTGCCGATCTTGTTATTTCGGTTGAAGTGGTGCTGCTTGTATAGCAGGTGGCTTGCAGTAGTGGGGCTTTATTATTGGGAAGCACTGCGTATTGTATAAAACTTTGGGATTTTCTGCCATTCGATGTGGGTCGTACAAAGGCTCGCGGTAACTTGATGAATCGCTCGAATTTAATTTTATATTCAGTTTGCTAGTTTGCAACGATATCGTTGATTTATATGGCTTCAAATATGGGCACATCAGCCCTTAAATTTTTGATTGAATTCAAGATTCTCTTATTAACCTTTCAAGTAATCCATGGACTAGCTCCTCAGTATTTGCGTGATCTAATTCGAATCACAGAACCGCCAAATTTTTACCTGCGAATAAATAATGAAACAGTCCTGGATGTACCGCCTCAGAAATCATTTAACTCAATTTGAGATAGAGCCTTCAAATTTGCAGCACTAAAGTTATGGAATCGTCTTCCAAAAGAACTCAGATATTCAGACACAATTTGTAATTTTAGAAAAAAATTAAAAACTCATTTATTTGCATAGCTTATGACATTACCTGACGTTCTTTTCCTTCTTTTCTCTTCTAGAACTAATATTGTAATTATCATACCCATAAGAGATGCAGTAATTACTTCAATTTTAACCCTGTAATTTATATATCAGTCTTATTATTATGTAGATCAGATTTTACAGCGCATCTAAACATTCTCATGCTAATTTGCGCTCAAGAAATTCACATTAATTCATTAATTCATAGATTTAATTTTTTTGTGTATATTTTTCTATTTAAGTACGAGTGTTTTCATGTATAAGACTGTAAGTTTGTGAACACAGTTCGTAAATTGAAACATTTTAGCGAGTGTTGCCAACCTTATGAAACTATATACATGTGATGTAATAAATACTTCAGCGTGCTCCGTGCGCGCCTGTTAGCGGGCTACTCCCGTGGTTTAGGTTGAGCCAAAACGCAGAATATTATTAAACATTTGCGTCGAAAAATCAAAAAATCTCATTTTCGATGTTCTATTGATCGTCGCTCTTTACGATGTTTGGGATATAATCCTCGGAAGGTAGGAAATTGATAAATAGCCTTGTGTAATATCACAGTAATTTGCAACAACGCGGCAGCCGATCGAGACTGGTAATCATGTGATGACCGAGTGTGCTGTGTACTAATTTGTATATTTTCGACAATTAGTATTTAACGCCGTGTAGACCGTGTAGTTGCAGTAACGACAGAATTTAGAAGCGACCCATAGGCCATAGGCATAGAAACCATGCGATGAGCAATATTTGTGCGAGTATTATTTATAGTTCCGCCACTCAGATGCTCTTGTTTTATTTCCTGAGAGCAACTTTAGAAACGTTCGTTCACAAA